CCAAAATCAGATTTGTAATCATAATTTCTTCATCCTTGAGGTTTTGCATGAAGAAAGGGCTCTGTTCTAAGCTTCCATTGATTCTTTCAAAGGCCTCTGAAACAAGCAATCACTATTGGATGTCAAACTTGCTTGTGAGGATAGTTCCCTGCGAGTGTCTGAGAACCCAACCGCAAATCTTTCCTAAATCTCACTCATCGAGCAGAATCAAGTTTTAATCTAATCTGACCAAAGAATTGGTTTCTAATCTAATCTGACAAAAGAATTGGTTTCTAGCAGAAATTATACTGCGCCAAGTCACATGTCTCTGTGACTCACCAAAACTTCAATACCATTTGCCTAGCAGAGCGTCATTGGCCTGTTTTATGCACCTGATACTGAGACCCCTCTCCTACTTTGATTGGCATACTGTGTCCCATTCAACTGAAGGACATTTGTTTGTTCCTTTCAGCTCTTCCAAAGAAAATCCCTCTGAAGCCTATCAATTCTCTATGATACTGATGCTAGGCATAATTTATACCGAGAGGGTGGAGAGGTGGCTTTAATTAAGTTTCATCGATGGACTGAGTTATATTTTGCTTTCCGGGAAGCAAGTCTTCTTTCTGATCTCTGAATGACACTGTCCATTGTGGTTACATTGGATCATGTATGCACAAAGGTAGCCCCAATTCAGTTCCATACCATAGCAGCTAGTTTTTGGAGCTCTAATGGGCTCATACTGATACCGTGCACTTTGGTCTCGTTTGTGTTGTCTCACAACCCTAAAGCCATATTGAAGAAACCTCAGACCATCCGAGCCGGTGGATTTGATTGGAGAATGGATTACAAAAGATGAGAATATCATCCACATATTGAAAATTCCAGACTTGCAGACCACCATTGCCTACGTTTAAACCATGGAGGAAGGCAATAAATGTACATGAAATAATATCATGCTGAAAATATCTGCTACAAAGGCAAATGAAATTGGAGAAAGTGATCGTAATCCTCTTGAGCAGGGGAAAACAACCAAAGGGGACAGCGTATAGGAGGATTAAGAACATAGCTGTAGATTCACAGGCTGCTATCCATGAGCGCCGTTTACCCTGCAATTCCATTTAGCTCGGAGTTAGGTCAAGCACTGGTTGTAGGCCTTCTCATGGTCCAGCTTGGAAACAATGTTAGATTTGGTAGCTCGATACCTTGTATCCATACATTCATGAGTGATTAGCGCCCCATCAAGTATTTGGTAACCTTTTACAAAAGGCTCCTTGAGAAAGAAAAATTAACATTTCCCGAAACTTTTGGAAGTCATGTAGCTGGGGGGCCATTTCCAGGATGTGTTATGCGCTGCTATTTACGCTAATCAGTTGGAAATCCTTTATTGCTTCTTGTAGCCCATTGTGGCTAATTAAATTTCAAGATGTTCAACCAAAACCTAAGATATAGCATACGTTAGCATCCTTGTCCCATTGTGCCCTGATACCCAAAGTAACATCAATGCCTCAGAAACCCTGGAAATGACCCTTTAGATTATAAATATTTTAACAAGAAAACATTCAGCAAATTTTGTTCCCAAATATAGAAATTTATAAGCTTTCAAACAGTTCAAGGACCAACTCATTTTTATTTGTCCTTTTAAAGATATGTGTGAAACACTAGACAATATGACAATATGTTGACTTCCAGTTAGTCCTCCTCATGGCACATATTGTGCAACATGTGTCACGTGTGTGAAACATGGCGTGTATTGGTAGCCTTTTTGTCCCTAAAACCATTTAAACCAATTATATGAGATTTGGAATTGATTTGGTCTGATTTACGCTTTCCCCAGTCCAAGAAACCCAAATTTGGAACTCTAAGTTGGTACCCTAGTGTTCAAAACACTAGAACCCCCTCAATTTATCTTCAAAAGGTTAATATTGCATATCAAATCCAAGGGGATTCCATGAGCTTTCTGATGAAAAAAGAATGACTTCAATCTGATGCTCTGGTGTAAAGTTATAGTTGAACCAATGAACAAAGTACAGAATTTCAAAATTACCACTGCATGTGCATTCGTGGTACATATCATGCTGCATGCAGCACTGGGTGTGATATGCATGGTACATTGTGTGCCATGGGTGCCAGTAAGTCTTCTAGAGATGTAACGTACGCCAATGTGATAGAAACCGGTTTTGACTTGCTAAGCTGCAATCAAGATCTAGAATTGGCATCTTTAGGATTAAACTGCCGCAATTCCTTCAATATTCATCTTTTGGCAAAGTACCCATCAAATTGAACAAATTTCATGAGTTCTCTAATGACTCAAGAACCTCATCGATTCGACTCTCTATTCAAAAGATATGGTCACACTAGTAAACAAACTAGAGATTGTCAAATCTGTCCTTGTCTGTACAAACACAGCATAGTATGTGCCATTTGTGGTGTATACTGAGCTGCACACAACATGGACTGTGCCGTGAAGGGTAATTTGGCCCCAGAACATTCTAGACTCTTCCATAGATGCATGTGGTGCATATTAGGCAAGTATTTGCAGGTGAATGGCCTGCACTGATCCATTCGCTACACACTAAGTACCTGTGGGGGCAAGTTCAGGAGAGAGACAAGAAGAACCAATTTAGAGCCTCTCCTAGATTCCTATTCCTTTTTTCGTATACCTGAAAACCCCCGAGCATGCCCAAAGTCTTACCATAACCCTTATATAGATCTCCAATACCCTAAATGTCCCCAAAGCCCTTAGTGTAGCTCTAAATCCTAGAAGTAGAGCCTCAAAACCCAAGATTTTCGTCCAAGCTTTTGATCCTTTAAATCCTTTGAGCCTGAGGATTTTCAAGTTTCAAGTTCAATTAAAGTCTCTTTTTTGAATTGCGGAAGGCTGGATGGACCCGGTATATTGGGTTTGCCATGGCTGTGGCAGCTGCCACTATAGGTGTTCCATCTTCACCTCTTCTTCCTGATAAATGACAGAGGAAACCAGGAACACTAGAGCGAGTAACACCCCCCCCCCCCTTTTTCTTCTTTTTCTTTTCCTCCTTTCTCTCTCTGATTAGCTGCATGAATTCATTTATGCAATAAATAAGAACAATGAAAATTTTTTCTTTCTATGCCTAATGGGCTTATATTCTCCTGGACAATGCAGTTGATTGTTTACAATAAGTAGCTTGCATAGGAGAAACCAGTGGTACTGGTCCCCTCTTTCTCAACTCGAAAGTTTGAGTGATGGTGGTAATGCCTACCCCTGGTTTTAACATGTTTAGGTTACACGGGCTACTTTTGTTTTTTGGATCGTTAAGTTACACATGCTACTTATTGCACGAAGGTTATAAACATCATGTACCATCTTTTCAGAAGCACCACCACTCATTTTTATATTTTCAGATCTACACTGTGGGTGGCCATATAAATCTTGCCTGCTGTATATATTGCCACCCATGTTTTGGGTGGCAGAATAACAAGCTGTGGGCAGAAAATTAAAAGAATGAGTGCTGGAATGTGCTGATGTAATAATTTTCTAGTGGCAATCTTATTTCTGGCTTGGTGGGATTTTCATGCTTCAACTTTAAAAAGATATCCATCGCAAAAGAAAAACTTCCATGTGATTATGGTTTATTTCCTTGGGTTGAGGTTTCAACGAGGATGGAATACAGATCTAAATTAATTATGTGCATGTATCACATACCCTATGCATTCTTCATAGGAACGAGACTTGTATATCTCAGACATGATATTTAGGTATAATGGCTGTTTCTTAGATCATTGGATCTTTGTGAATGCTACGTAGCTCTTCAAGAAAATTTTCACACAACCTGACATGCCTGAAGGGGAATTTTCTTGCAAGTATTGCCCTATTAGAGAAGGATCAAAGGATACTCGCACCATACTTCTACCTCTTGAGATTTTTTAGTTTGCGCCTATTGCTCATGCCTTAAATTTCTGGGGCTTTTATAACATGGTTGACATTAGTGTGGAGGATATTAGTCCAATTGTTGTCTATAATTAATTGTGTCATAGGGAGCATAACCTTTCCATCTAATTACTAGCTCGACATATTAAGATGTTTTTTTTTCTCCGATAAGAGTTGATGGAATCAGATGTTTCCTTTCTTAATCACCTAATAGCATTCATGGGGTCATCCCACTTACAGCAAACAAGTCCTTGAGTCTGGCTCAGGTGCTGCTTCGTGACTATGAAGGTACATTGGGGTTTCAATCCTTTTGCAGGCCTCACTGCAGTTAATCTAATCATCCTCCAGTGGGATGAAAGACTTGGGGCACTTCGTTATGTTGTTGATATTTTTTAGTTCACTTGGGTCATGCATGCCTATTTGCTTTCATTTAAGGTTTTCCTTATATCCAACAACTAGTGTTTTTGTTACACATGCATTGGATTATGGAGCACCTCTTGTAGCTTCCATAAGTTGACAAGGAAAAGCTTCTTATATACAATCACCTTCCATGCAGCTTGTAGCTCCAAGATATCTCATATCACTATGTTTTATTGGATCATTACCTGTTTTCTCTTAGTCTTGTTATCTTTGCCATTTCGCAATTTATACTAACTGCCTATGCTGATGCTATCTTTGTAATAACTAACAAAGTGCTATTAATCAAGAACAGATGTATCATATAGAAAAATGCATTGAAAATCCTACAGAGAGAGAGTGAGAGAGAGAGAGAGAGAGAGAGAGAGACCTGCCCAAATGAGGGGAGAGGGAAATATCTCTATTTTCAACCACTCAATGGAAAAATATGTTTTTGTTGACAATTCTCTGGGATGAGTGACCATCATGACACCGTCTATTATCTTTCAGAAGCTTAAATGGAACTCTCCTCAACTCTCTCTGTGATTGTGTCCTTACCTATCAACAGAATAAGTTTCCGTTCTTTTTCTCTTTTTTCGAACAAAAAAAAAGAAGAAAAAAAGAGAATAATCTCTATCAAAAGATAAAAGTTGCAAGCCTTGACAGATGACACCACAAGCAATCAGTGTTCTAATGGTTTTTATGCTTTTACATGCAGAGAAGCTGTATATTTCATTTTTGTAACGGTGATAAACTTAACATCGTGGTTGGCTTTCTCCTGCTATGGAAGTGATCAATTGGGCAGATTCTGATGAAACAATTGATTCAAACTTCTGCATCAAGGAATTAAACGATGAGGAGAATCTATACATGTCTGGTTCCATCCCAAGGTTGCAATTTAGGTATTCTGTAATTGTGGCCACAGATTTAAGGCCTTGATCTGTTAGATTTGTGCGAGAGAGAGAGAGAGAGAGAGAGAGAGAGAGAAGAGAGAGAGAGAGAGAGAGAGAGAGAGAGAGAGAGAGAGAGAGAGAGAGTAGTAGTAGTAGTAGTAGTTAGTAGTAGTAGTAGTAGTAGTAGTAGTACGTAGTACGTAGTACGTACGTACGTACGTAGTAGTAGTAGTAGTAGTAGTAGTAGTAGTA